TGGGAGATCAGCTGTAATCGGCTTGGAGACCGATTTAAAGGGCAAAGGCGCGCGGCGGCGGTGACAGCAGCGTGCAGCCCGCGCACCCGGCGCCGCGGCCGCTGTCTCTGCTCCTGCGCCAACGGGGCGCAATGGGGCGGATTGCGGGAGGTGGAGGCGCGTGGCGACGGCGCACACCCGTTCCCACGCGCGCTGGCACACACACAGACATATATCCTCACATACACACAAATGCACACTCAAACACTGCGCAGTCACAACACTAATGCTCACATTGGCACAATTATACACACATCGCTCACACAAACAATACACAGACACACACACTCATACACACAAATACAATCACAAAGATATACACCATACTTACACAGAAAAGTATGCACGCACATATACACACACCCACAATGTGCACTCCTACACACAAAAATACAAACCCATATACAAATACACCCACAGGCACGCACTGATATGCTCATCCAAAAGCACATTTACACTCACAAACCATACTGGCATACACACACCCAACCTCACACATGCGCACAACAGACACATGCACACATTTACACTCCACATGCTCATACACAACACAAACTACACACAAATACACACCCATACACAATGCATTTTTACTCACAGTCATAAACACACACAGACACACACTCAAATACACAAGCAAATACACAATAACACACATACACATGAACATACAAACACATTCGCTCAAAAATGTGCACACATACTCATACACAAGAGCTCACAAACATATGCATACATATTCATGGGTATTCATACTTTGCCAAACCCACTCACACAGAAAACATACTCATCTGCTACATCCATGCACTCACACTTATCCACGAATGTGTTTCCATAGCAGGGGGTGGAGTCACAAAGTGGCTTTGCATAATGGCAACCTTGACTTTTCCCTGCATACTTGCACTATTATACTTAAAACAAGAATGGAGTGCAACCCCTCTGTTCCCAGGAAGGTATCAGATGCTGTTGGCTCTAGAGGGGAGGAAAAATAATTTTCTTTTTACCCTTCTCTGTTCTTCTGGCTGGTCTAAAAATTAATTAGACATGAAACAGATTAACAGGAGAAAATAACCATATTTATTACATATTTACATATGGGGGTTCCATACAAATGTGAGACTCAGGAAAATCTGTCAGTTAAGGTTTCTATGCTATTCTGAGCTATGGAGAAGGGGTGAGGGTTGTGGTTTGGAGCTTCAGAGGTGGGGAAAACAATTCACAGGGTGATGAAGAGTTATGTTTAAACAAAGTGTGTTGGGCCATTTTGAAACTATGGGACACAGAAAAGACTTTGATCCAATGGGCCTTGCTACACTAGTTCATATTAAACTATAATTATCTATGACAGGGATTTCTCAGGATTAAGATAAAGGAAGCTAAAATTTCAGCATGGAGTTTTTAACCATAAAAAAATACCCAAACAAGGGAGACTGGCTGCCCCTGGAAGAATCTATCCCCAGAAGCCATGTTGTCCTATGTTTGCTCACGCTCGACACCCTTGCTAGGACTGGAATTCATTTGATTAACAAATCTCGCAGATACATCCAGGAAACCAAGACCCTCTACTATAAAATGTAAGTGAAAGGGAAATAATGTGCCCAGCAGCTGTGGTAGGAAGCTTCTGAAAGCCCCAGGGAGCACCAGTACTTGATTCTGCTATATACATATTTTTTATTCCCCTTAGTCACTTATAAAAATGGTTGGCTATGAAGTGTTTATTGTGAAAAAAAATAATAAAATCCTTTTTTGGGCCATGAATCTGTGACAATACACATGTCTTGTACCACTAGTTGTGTGTTCACAAATTGGTAGCCCAGGGGTTCTGCCTGTTTTGTAAGTGCTGTGTTTACAGAATATTTTAACTCTGCCTCACTGAGCAGTTGAGTGTTTTTTCCATTTTACCTTAAAAAAAAATAAAACCTAATAGGCCTTCTATTCAAAACGATATAATAGGGAAATTGCCATTTGAAAGTAGCATGAGAACAGTGATTATTTCTCGCGTAAGAGACAGTGCTGTGCTAATTGGGTTTCACCCAGCTGGGTTGTCCTTTAGAGGAGATACAAGAGTAGAGACAGTAAGTAAATGTGGACGATTCTCGATGCAGAGGAGATGGCAAGTGCCTCAGGAGACCTTTCATTTCTTTCTCTGTGGTCACATTCCAGCTCTGAGAACCATAAGCGAGTTGACACCTGCTTAGTTGATGAGCTCCAGTTTTGAGAGGAAACCATTAAGGGTGTGAATTCATACAAAAACAATTTTGCAATGAGTATTCCAACCTTCTAATCACGTGTTTTTTCAGATGTGAAGCATTCTTTTCCCCAATAAGCAGTATCTATGGTGTTGAAGCTCACCTCAGTGCTGATTCATCCTGTCTACTCAAATATCCTTTTGATTTGAACCACAAGAATTATGCTTCTCAACTTCTTATCTATCATCACTTCCTACCATGTAAGTTGCTATGGCTGTGATATGACCCCTAACAATGACAGAAGGTAACTTATTTCCTTTGTAATTTGGCTGGTAATCACTGTGGGGTTTAATTCTGGAAATTCACTGCAAGAACTGTTTATTAATCACCTGTTACGTCCTCAACACAGTATTTAGGTGATGGACGATATATAGAGAAAAGACTGCTCCTGGTGCACTCGGTCTGTCAGGAATAGGATTTCATGTTTCGGCACTGCTTCTCACCACCAGACCGGCTGCTTCTCCAAGGCAAGGCTGTCTCCCTAACCCCTGCAGCACCCAATAGGAGAATTTATATGCAGCAGGCACCGAAATGATGCACAGCTATTTTCTAAGTTAATACTCAGTGATTGGATTGTTGAAGAGAGCATACAAATTTGTAAATATTAGATCATTCCACACATGATGGTAACAGATGAAAATAATGAGAAATCCTGAACAATCTCCAGAAGCTATATCAGTGAATGTCTGATGGGCATTTGTGGGCCTTCAGCCTCCTTCATTCATATAGAAACTGTGTCCCTGGAATTGTGCCACCTTGAAACACAAAGGGCCAGGAGGTTATGTAAATGAGGATGCTTTTTCCCCAGCTGATCAAACAGGTCGGTAAAAGGGACTCTGTTCCAAGGGGTGGGAACAAGCTCTTCTGTAGAGTCATTGTTTTCCCCTTGTATTTCA